ATTATTAATTGTTACTATTATTATTAATATCAAATTATCAATTCATTTTTTCCTTCATTGAATACATGCATACATATGTACATATTTATCTTTTCTTTCTTTTTATCAAAGTTTTATCAGAGAAATTATTATCACAAACTATCCATATTGAAATATCTCTTTTAGTATTGACGTAATCAAACCTATGCTATGAATATAAACGATGACTTCTTAACGAAGTCATAATGTTTTTCAATTTCAATTTGTATGTATGGCAATAATTTCCATTTTCTTGATGATATCCATTTATTAACTGAAAATACAAGATTGAAATTTTCTGATTATATAATTATCAACTTGAAACTATCTATTAACTTTTTGAATAATTACTGGATAATTAATTTGTATATTTCATTCGACTATCCTTCTTTTCTTTCTAATATATATGCTAATTTTTACACATCTAGGAGATTTCAAAATTTTTTTTCCAGAGTACCTTAAAAGTTCAAAATTATGGTTTAAATTTAAACTTGGATTAGTTAGATTCATATCATTTCTATTATCAATTTATTGATAACTATTTAATTGATAGTTTTATAGCTAAGATATTATTAGCAGTTGACAAATTTCATTTATCAAACTTCAAACTGTTTTGTTAAGAGATGGAAAGATTAAGTGGGATTAATCACGCATATGATAGCATTGTTAAGGAGGATAAATGCAATGACTATTTGAATTTTCATTAGAAACGAATTTTTAAGGCACTGTTAAGAGGAAGAGCTTGAAGATGCTACGTACGATGTCAATCGTATAATTTGCCTTTACGCTTCTGATCACGTAATATTGGATCACGTAAACGTGATATTGTGATGTTGGAGCAATGGTTCAAGCAATGGTTATGATGTTTCCGTCATCATAGTTTCATCAAATTTTATCAAAATTTCAATTTTAAATTGTACATAGCAGAAGTATTATTGCACAGCATTTCCTATATATTCAATCGATCGATTAAGAGAGCGGAGGTCAAGCATTGTTAGGTCGAGATTTTATTGTTATTTAAGTTCGTAGACGAAAGAAAGGAAGGATAAAATGAGAGAAGAAGAATATGAGGAAGAGGGATTGCATTTATAATTTATAGAAAATGAATGAGAGAGGAAGATTGAAAGGAAGGATGGGAAGAATTAAAAGGTGCATTTATTCAAATAACCCAATGATGACCTCCTCAAAAGTATATTAATGGTAAGTTGAGCAAATAACAGATAGGATTAAGGTTGCAAATAAGGTTCAAGGATTATTTTGTATGGCGGGGAAGGAAGAGGCGGGGGAATTTTAAAAGGAAAAAGAAAAAAAGAATGAAAGAAAAGGTGCTTTAAAAAGTCGATATCTATTTGTGTATAGATGTTGTACTAATAGTAATAGTAGTAGTAGTAGCAGTAGCAGTAGTAGTAGTAGTGGTGGTATACTTCCTAGCACTTATTATCATCATTACCATCATCATCATCATCATCATCATCTATTCATAAAGCAAATCTCTCTCCTTTATATTTCACCTCAATTTCAGATTTTAAATTGTCAACTCTTTTGTATTTCATATCAGTCATTAACTTTTGATCTGAAAGGATATTTTGATATCATTTGCATATATTTAATGTAAAGTTTTTTAATTTAGATAAATCGATATTTCGATAATCTTTTTTTAGTGACAATTTCATTTCTGAAAGATCAAATTCATATCATTTACATTCAGCTGAAGCAGCATTCTTAGGCAATAGAAGAGAAAATATTCGTAATTAATTAATTTACAAATTCGATCACAGGTATCATTTAATATATATAATGATAAGATCATTCAGATCCATCCATATACACGCATATCTCAGTATGTATATATGGGTTTATTTATTCCGCATTCCGTTTTTTTTTTTTAACCTATCAAAGGCGTATTTCTCTCTTATCATCTACTATCAGTCGGTTATCACAATAATTATTGATTTATTCTAATAGATTTTATCCTTTTATGAAAATATGTAGCATATTTCGTCAAGTATCTCCCAGTTATTTGCTGCAATAACATAGTATATATGGGAGAGAGAGAGAGACAGTGAGAGGGAGAGAGAGAAAATTTTGTTAAAAATGAAAAATTAAAAGAAAACGATGAAGAGATGCAAAATCATTATGCTAATAAAATAGTTACCGAAATTTTTCACAATGTATAAGAGATTTAAGATTTATTGATTTATGATAAAAGTACGGAAATGGATGAATAATGAATGAATGAATAGATATTGATGGTGACATTTATCAGTTTTGTTCCGGAAACTATATGAATGTCATTTTCTCTTTTTTTTTTTCTGATTAAATTTGCAATGAACAGTCAAATTAAAGGTTGCGCATAGTTCGTCTACATTTTGCACCTTCTTAACATCAAAAATCTATTCACCTTACAACTTCAATCTCTCCCTCTCTCTCTCTCTCTCTCTTTTACTTTAAATTTCAATGAATGACTTGTCTCTTACGCTTAACACATCATTTCTTTAATTCAAGAAAGTTCAACTCCTAATTTTCCACTTTCAATTTAACTTTACTCATTTTCTCTTTTTTGCTATGGTAATGAAATATACAAGAAAAAAAAAAAAAAAAAGAAACATAATTCTTAATGTGATAAATGATAAGATTGACGAAATGAAAAATTTGACCACAACTATGAGGCTATAATGGAACCACTGTTTGCCTGAATGAAATGGTCAGCTGTCCATCCATCATCATCAATTTGTCCATTTTGTTACTCCATTCATTGTTTATCATTTATCTTACAACAATATTATATGATAATGTTTATCA